AAAAAAAGACACAGACCTACTAGAGAATGGACTTAAGGATATGGGGAGGGGGAAGGGTAAACTGTGACAAAGTGAGAGAGTGGCATGGACATATATACACTACCAAATGTAAAATAGCTAGTGGGAAGCAGCCACATAGCACAGGGAGATCAGCTTGGTGCTTTGTGACCACCTAGAGGGGTGGGATAGGGAGGGTGGGAGGGAGGGAGACACAAGAGGGAAGAGATATGGGAACATATGTATATGTATAACTGATTCACTTTGTTATTAAAGCAGAAACTAACATACCATTGTAAAGCAATTATACTCCAATAAAGATGTAAAAAAAAAAAAGCAAAAGACCTAAGTAGATATTTTTCAAAGAAAATATTCCCACAGCCAATAGGTACACAAAAAGTACCTCAGCATCATTCATCATCAGGAAATGCAAATCAAAACCACAATGAGATATTACCTCACACGTTTCAGAAAGGCTGTTATCAAAAGACAAGTGCTGGGAAGGATGTAGAGAAAAGAGACCCTTTTATACTGTTGGTGGGAATGTAAGTTGGTACAGCTGCTATGGAAAACAGTATGGAGGTTCGTAAAAAAATTAAAAATAGAGCTACCATATAATTCAATTCCAGTTCTGTGCATATATCTAAAGAAAAGAAATAACTATCTTGAAGAGATATCTGTACCCCATATTTGTTGCTGCATTATTCATAATAGCCAAGACATAGAAACAACCTAAGTGTCCTTTGACAGATAAATAGATAAAATAAATATATACAAACACACACAATGGAATATTATTCAGCTGTAGAAAGAGGGAAATCTTGTCTTTTCCACATCACGGACTAACCTGGAAGGCGTTATGCTAAATGAAATAATTCAGACAAAGAAAGACAAATACGGTATGATATCACTTATATGGGGAATCTAATAAAACTGAACTTATAGAAACAGAGAAGAGATTGATGTTTGCCACATGCGAGGGGTGTTGGGTTGGGGAAATAGGTGAATGTGGTCAAAAGGTACAGAGTTTCAGTTATAAAATAAATGAGGTTGAGGAAGTAACGCACGTCATGAAGACTAAAGTTAGCAAAACTGTATTGTATATTTGAAAGTTGCTAAGAGAGTAGATTGTAAACGTTCTCATCAAAAGAAAAAACATGTAACTATGTGAAGTGACGGATGTTAAGTGACCTTAATGTGCTTATCTTTTTGCAGTATATACATATATCAAATCATTATGTTGTACACCTTAATCTTATACAATGTAATATGTCTGTTATGTCTCAAATTAGGGAAAAATACAAAATCTGAGCAGAAAAATAACAAGTGAGAATGTTGAATCAGTAGTCAAACCTCCCAACAAAGAAAAGCCCAGGAACAGATAGATGGTTTCACTGGTGAATTCCATGAAACATTTAAAAAACAATTAACAACAGTCCTTCTCAAACTAGTCAAAAACCTAAAAGGAACAGTCTCAAACTCATTTTATTAGGCTAGCATTACCCCAATACCAAAGCTGGATAAAGATACTACTAGATATCCTTGATGAATATAGATGTAAAAATTCTCAACAAAATACTAGCAAACCAAATTCAACAGCACATAAAAGGATCATGCATCATCATCAAGTGGGATTCATCTCTAGGATACAAGCATGGTCTACATATGCAAATCAATAAATGTGACACACCACATTTATAGAATGAAAGATAAAAATCACATGATCACCTCAATAGATGCAGAAAAAGCATTTTACAAAATTCAACATCTTTCGTGATAAAAATGCTCAATAAATTGGGTATAAAAAGAACATATCTCAATATAATCAATGCCTTTTATGACAAGCTCACCACTAATAACAATACTCAGAGGTGAAAGTTTGAAAGCTTTTCCTCTAAGTTCAGGAATAAGACAAGGATTCCAAACCTCACCACTCCTATTCAGCATAGCTCTTGAAGTCCTAGCCAGAGCAGTCAGGCAATTAAAAGAAACTGAAGTCAGAAAGTGAGAAGTCAAATTGTCTCTGTTTACAGATGATATGATTTCATACATAGAAAACTCTAAAGACTATCCCAAGAAATAATAATATTAGAATAATAAAGGAATTCAGTAATGTTTCAGGATACAAAATCAGTGTACAGAAATCAGTTGTGTTTCACTAACAACAAACATCCAAAGGAGAAATTAAGGACACAATCCCCTTTGCAATCGCTCAAAATAGTAAAATACTTAGGAATAGGTTTAACCAAGAAGGTTAAAGATCTGCACATTGAAATCTATTAGACATTTATGAAAGAAATTGAAGAAGACACAAATAAATGGAAAGATATTCTATATTCATGGATGATAAGAATTAATATTGTGAAAATGTCCTTACTATACAAAGCCATCTGTATACTTTCTGTAATCCTTATCTCAAATTCCATGGCATTTTTCATAGAAGGAGAGAAAACACTCCTAAAATTCATATGGAACCACAAAAGACCCCAATTTACCAAAGCAGTTCTGTTAAAGAAGAACAAAGCTGGGGCAATCATGCATCCCAATTTCAAACTATATTACAAAGCTATAATAATCAAAAAAGTATGGTACTAGCATAAAAAACAGCATATAGATCAATGGAACAGAATCAAGAGCCCAATTATAAACCCACACTTATGGTCAACTAATATTTGTCAGGAGGCCAAGAATATTCAGTGGGGGAAAGATAGTCTCTTTTATTAATGGTATTGGGAAAATTGGATGTTTACATGCAAAGGACTGTATTGGACCCCTATATTACACCACTCACAAAAATTAACTCAAAACTGATTAAAGACTTAAGTGTAAGACCCACATCTATAAAATTCCTAGAAGAAAACAGGGAAAATACTCCTCAACATTGATCTTGGCAATGAGTTTTTGAATATGACACCTAAATGAAAGCCAGAGAAACAAAAATAAGCAAGTGGGACTACATCAAACTAGAAAGCTTCTGCATAGCAAAAGACAATCAACAAAATGAAAAGGCTACCTATGCAATGGGAGAACATTTTTATAAACCATACACCCAATAAAGACACACACACACGCACACACACACACACATACACACTGTGGAATACTATTCAACCATAAAAAGAAGGAAATCCTGCCATTTATGGAAATATGGATGATCTTTAGAGAGTTATGCTGTGTGAAATGTCAGACAGAAAATACAAATATAATATGTCATTTATATAAGCAATCTGAAAAAGGCAAAATTATAGAAACAGAAAGTAGGTTGCCAGGGATTGGGGTTGGGGAAAGTGGGGTGATGTTGGTCAAAGGGCCCAAGCTTCTAGTTATATGATGAAATAGTTTTGGAGATATAATGTACAGTATGGTTAATATAGTTAACAATACGCTATTGTATACTTAAGATAATTGTGTGAGGTGATGGATGTGCTAACTAACTTTATTGTGGTAATTATTTCACAATATATATGTATAATGAATTATCACATTGCATACCTTAAACTTACACAACACTGTATGTCAGTTACATCTCAATAAAGCTGGAAAACAAGAACAAAAACAAAATAACAAAATTCTGGCTTTTAGAAAAGAAGTGGTTCCATCCCACTGAAGTGTGAATGTTTTAATATGTTATATGATGGCTTAATATGATACTACTTCCAGGGTAATGGGATCAAGTCATCAAACAAAGGCAAACAGAAACTATAATGTTGAAATTTCAGACACTGACCAGCAGATGAGAAAGGTACTTGGGAACACCAGAGAGATCATCCTTGCATTCTGAATCATATGCTGTATTCCTCAGCCTATTCTGTTCTGAATAGAGATAAGGATTAAAAGTGGGCACTAGGTGCTTTGAGAAGCCCCTTGCTACTTAATTTATACCATTTCCCTTTGATCTCCCATCTACTCTAGGTGTCACCTCTGCTCGCTCAGTTCCTCCTTCCTACCCACCACCACAGGACCCGTTAAACCAGGGCCAGTACCTGGTCCCTGATGGCATCGCTCAGTCGCAGGTCTTTGAGTTCACCGAACCCAAGCGCAGCCAGTCACCATTCTGGCAAAACTTCAGCAGGTTAACCCCCTTCAAAAAATAATACCAACAGGGAGGCAGATAATTTTAAAATAAAGTAAATAAAATTATATTTATAGATGGACCTTTTTTCGGAGAAGCACTGTTGAAATTTATATACACACACACACACACACACACACACACACACACACACACACACACACACATGCATACACACACATATACACACACACACAGGACCTTGAGTGTACATACACACACACACGCACACACACACACACACACACACACACACATACACACACACATGCAGAAGGACCAAAAATGTTTTCTGTTGTTTTGGGGAAGTAAAATCTGTAGTTGGTAGGAAGAAGTACCAATGAATTCCAAACACATGATCCCTTCTTAAAATGTTTTCCATTACACACATGCAAGGACCAAAAATGTTTTCTGTTGTTTTGGGGAAGTAAAATCTGTAGTTGGTAGGAAGAAGTACCAATGAATTCCAAACACATGATCCCTTCTTAAAATGTTTTCCATTCTTACCCTGTCCCCCTCCCCTTTACTTTCAGAAAATGACATTTCTATTTGTTCCTTTTCTTGTTGAGATAATCTTTTTGCTCTCCTGTGAGTGATTCATTGACTTGTCATTATTAACATAGATGTGTTTGTATTGTTTTTTAGTTACCTGATGATACTGATGCTGATGACTTTTGAATTTAATTTGATGTGGTGGAGTTTGGGAGTTTTGAATTTCTTTTTTTCCTTTTCCTTTTCACTGGGTAAAGGGAGGATCCCCTTCCTCCACTCCCTCAACTGATCATCTGCGAATATTTCTGCAGCCCTGCAGTTGCCCCAAATAACCTTTTCCCTGCATCTTCTGTCCTCAGTCATGCCAGTCTGGACATGCTCTGTTGTGCCCTGTGACATAAGTGCTCAATATTTCTATTGCTTTCACTGTGTTTTAGGTGTTGTAGAGGGATCGAAACTAAACAGAAACAAGGGAATGTCAGAGTAATGATGCTGGAGAGGACTTCTGTTCAGGGAGCATTCTGCATTTGGGCTATTTCTTCTTCTAGCACTGGGGATTCCCATGTTGCAGCACTGCTGGGTCATGCCAGTTTTGTATCTGGGGCTTTTGGGTCAGTTTTTCTCTTCTTCATGCCACTTTGGTTATGGTGTTTCTTCTAGGCTTGTCCCTCCCCTAAACTAAAAAATCTGAACTAGAAGTGAAGAGGCTGAGACTCTGCCTCCTGGAGGAGGGATTCAACTGCCTCCAGTACCAAGTAGGTTTAGAGTAGGACTCCCCACTAAAGTCGGGGGCCTGGTTTTACCTGCTCCCCATTGGCAGATTGTTTAGGCAGCATTGCTGGAATCTGTGAGAGGTCAAGACAGAGCCCACCTGACCAAGGTCATCAACTGTATTCAAATTATTGACCTGGACAGAATCAAAGGCTGATAGTAACCTCTTATAGGAAAGAACAAAGATGGGCATGGAAAAAGACAACCTCAGCCCAAGATATGTACTTACAGTTCTTAACTTATGTGAAACTTCCCCCATTGTTAGCCGATTGCATGGATAATCTTCCATGGCTCCTTCCTTCCCCTCTTCCTGTCTTCCTTCTTTCTCCTGCTCTCCCCTGCACAGGAGGGTTGCTGGTATGAGCATAGTTAAAGCACTTCTGGCACTCAAAGACTGCCCTGTTTCCAACATTCTCCCATCCTACAACATTTGAAGTAAGCAAGCCAGGAGCCTAGGGGACTTTTCCCTGTGGAGAAAGGATCTGAGGCAGAGATGCTACCCTCAGGCTCATTTTTGGTAGGCTTTACACTTAGGAAAAACTAACTTTCCACACAAAGAGACAGACTCCCTATGGGTACTCCCTATTCCTCCTCTCCACATAGCCCCTCAGATAGATAGACCTTGAACAGCAAGGAGAATGGAGTACAAAGGAGTGAGGATGGGCCCTACTATGGAGAGCCATTCTAGTGAGCAATCTGGAGATTGTGAGTCTATCCTGGACCCTGTGGGGGAAGACTTAATCATGAAAGGACCCATGGCTGCATGGGACACAGCATAGCTGGCTTGATTGCTGCTCTTACGCCTCCTGACCCAGACCAGGCCCTGCCCAGCCTGGGAATTTTTCTTCTATGGGAATCAAATTACAAGCTGTTTAAGCTCCCATTCCACCACACCCAAATGAGACTTGAGGAGTTAGCCAAGGATAAGTGTGAGCTGGGCAGAGGGTCAGGGCTCGGGACTGGCCACAACTGCTCAGCACTTGACCCAGATACTTAAGCCCACTTGACAAGGAACCTGGTACCCAGTACCTAAGCTAAAATGGCTTCACTGGCAAACAGAATGTCTGGCTGTGTAGGCCTCCCTTGAGTGTACATTATTTTCCTACTTTCAATTCCTTCTCACTAGGCTTGGTCTTGACTTGTTTCTCCAGGGCCTGGTGGCACACCAAGAGGGGATGCATGGACAGGTCCCTGGACCTACAACTTCTCTTGGCCAAGCTCACTCACACTCCCACTTCCTGCTCCCCTGGGGCTGTGCCCAGTGCTCCAGGATCAGGGATTATCACCTCTTTCCACCCACCTCTCATCCACCCAACCCACTGGCCTCATCAGATGCCAATAATTTATGAAAACAACAAGAAATATGTTCACCATTGCTTGGAATATTCCCCCAGTCTATGGCAGAAAAGCAGACTGCTGGCCAACAGCCCCCAGGGGAACCCCATTACCTGGGCTCAGGATCCAAGCCTATTCTGTGTTGCCACAGCGATGCTATCCACAAGAACTCTGTAAATCTCTGTTTCTGCATGGCCCAGAGATCCCCTCTCTTCAACTCAATGGGGCCTGGATTTGCTCAAAAAGACTTTGCTAATATATTCTATGGGCCCTCTTGTGGGATGGTCCTAACCCAGAAATCCACCTCCTCTTTCTCTCTCTCCCTCTTGTCCCTTCTATGTGTATATCTCTAAAGGATTTATAAGGACAGCAACAAGAGAGTTCTAACAATTCTAGTGTGAAGCCAAATAGTGATTTTTAGTGTTTTGGGGATGGGGTGGGCTGGGGTGGATGGATGGGCAACAGTGATTTTGATTACCCCTGCTGCTCTGCACTTGCCAGTTTATTATTTCATTTCTTCTATCTGACTGTTTGACCCTGTCAAACAAGTGTCAAAGTTGTGTGTTTAAAAAAAATGTTTAACAAAAATATGATGTTGTAATGACACAAAGCCTTATGAAAATATTTATGGAGTTCAATAAAAGAAGTAAAAAGACACCTCCAGGCATAGCTCTCGTGCCATTTTGTGTGTGTGTTTGTGTGTGTGTTTTACCAATTGCAAAATAAAGGGAATTTGCCTGGCAGGGACAGTTTACACCAGCCTAGTCTTGGCCTTCCAGCCCTGCTGTTCTATTGCCAGGCTTGCCATGGTCTGTCTGTGGCCTTCCATGTCTCTTCTGGAAGAGTGGGCCACAAGAATCAAGTTTGATCCTGTAACCAGGGGTGTTTCAAATGTCTTCATGGGTGGTACTGTCCTTCAGGTCACTTGGCTCTTTCACAAGACTTGAAGGCCCATTCCTGACCTTGCTCCTTTTCCTTGCAGCTGTAAGTCCAGTACCTGCCCTGTGTACTCTCACGTGAGCTTAAAAGCTGCTCTTTGGACCTAATCAGAACCCATATCACTTAGGAATCACCCACCTCCAGTTCTTTCCTAATGCTTCCAGTCCTGTCTCCTCGGAGGTAGACATATTCTTTATCCATCCCCCAAAGTGGATGGAGTGACCTTACTGTTTCTTTCATCATGGTGTCTCCTGAACATACATGCTCCTTGCTGCCCACAAGGCTCCCATGTGGTATCTTATGCTGCGCATTAGAGACACAATAGTTTGTATGTTCTGATACTACTTAACCTGCCTTTCTCCAGAAGAAATAAACACTGACCTTAATAAAATACTTATTCTTCACCCATCTCCCAGCCCCCTTCAAATTGATCTCAGAGTTGCCTACTATCAGAGAGTTCCTGGGTGCAGCATGGGTTGAGGGGGGTTGGGAGCAAGAATATGGAATAGGTTGATACTAGCACATGAATGTGTCACTCTCTATAATCTCCTTGAGAGCCCTGTATCTTAAGTTTTCTAATCTAGGCTTCCAACAGGTGACTACAACCATAGGTCCTTTTGTCACTAGTACCAAGAGCAAGGGGGAGGAGGTCTAAGGTCTCTGCTCTGGGCTTTGGCTTACTTCAGTGTTTCAGTCACAGAGACCACCACTCTGCTGCTTGGCCCACTTAACTTTTAGACCCTTTGGGATTTCCTTATTTATGATGACCTTCTTACCCCTGGCTCCCAGAGACTTCTGTCCTGAATAGGATACGGGACTGGTGAGGTAGATCTTGCTTGCCCGGGCCTTTACCTACCAGGTCCAAGATAACAAAATGAGACCTCAGCATTCCACCAAGTCCAACCACCTGCAGGGCAACAGTTCAGCCTGGCCATAGGTAGATTAGACCATGTGGGTTTGCAACACAGAGCGGGTGTTGGGAGGTAAAACTCATGTTCCCTGGAAGCACTCTATTCTGATTCCATCTCTCCCATTTCTCTCTTGAACTGTGACTTCCTTCTCCAGTAGGCCATGAGTGTCACATGGACACTGTTTTCTCATATAGTTGGGGAAGAGGAAGAAAGGAATGGTACATGGCCATAGAGTGTCCCTGTGTTCTACAGAAGCCTCTATTACTTCTGTTTAGCTCACCAGTACATCATTTAAGGCAGATTGTTTAGGCAGGTTTATGTCCATCTCCACAACAACCATGCTGCCAACCAGCTGAATTAGATTCAACTTGCATATCCTGAATATGTAATCTGGGCCAGATACACAAGAAATACCAAGATAACTAAAATAAAATATCTACAGTCACTCAGAATTTAGTGAGAACATATAAGCATGGACCATAACAAGGATGGATGTTGGCCTGGAAGCACTCAAAAAATGGAGTGGTTAATTGTGATTGAGGAAGATCTTTGCAATCAGGATAAGTTTAGTTGTGCTGCAGTAACAGATTTTACCCCAAATCTTAATGGCTTTAACATACAAGAGTTTATTTCT